ATATGTCCCTTGGCCTTCTGTAAATCCACTTTCAAGAAGTGTGTATTTAGGACCTTTGTCCATTTTCTGATTGGATTGTTTATCTTCCTTTTGTTAAGTTGTATGAGTTCCCTATAAATTTTGGAGATTAAACCCTTATCAGATATAACATTGGCAAATATGTTCTTCCATGCAGTGGGCTTTCTTGTTGTTTTATTGATGGCTTTTTATTTTTTTTGCTTTTTATTTTTATGTAGTCCCATTTGTTTATTTTCTCCGTAGTTTCCATTGTCCTAGGAGCTCTATCAGTAAAGAGATTGACTTGTCTGGTATTTTGTTGACTATGGATTCTTTTAATATTTTTATGGTTTCCCGTCTTACATTTAAGTCCTTTATCCATTTTGAGGTTATTTTTGTGCACCGTGTAAGTTGTTGTTTAGTTTTATTTTTTTGCATGTATCTGTCCCAATTTTCCCAACACCATTTATTGAAGAGAGTATTTTGACTCCATTGTATGCTCTTGCCTCCTTTTTTCAAATATTAATTGAGCATAAGGGCTTGGGTCGACTCTGGGTTCTCTGTTCTGTTCCATTGGTCTATATGTCTGTTCCTGTGCCAGTACCAGTTTTGAGAACAGTGGCTTTGTTCAATAGCTAATATCTGGTATTGTGATCCCTCCAACTCCGTTCTTCTTTATTAGGATTGCTGTAGCTGTTCGTGGTCTTTTTTTTTTTTATTACATATGAATGTTTGGAGAGTTTTTCTAGGTCTGTGAAATATGCCATTGATATTTTAATGGAGATTGCATCGAATCTATAGATTGCTTACGGTAATAGAGACATTTTAACATTGTTGGTTCTACCAATCCATGAACACGGTTTATTCTTCCATCTGTTTATGTCTTCCTCTATCTCTTTTTTCAATGTCCTGTGGTTTTCCAAGTACAGGTCTTGTACTTCCTTAGTTGAGTTTATTCCTAGTTATCTTGATTTTTTTGTTGTAATGTTAAATGGGATTGTTTTTTAGTTTCTCTTTCTGTGAGTTCATTATTGGTGTATAAAAAAGCCATTGTTTTCTGGGTTTTAATTTTGTATCCTGCTACATTGCTGAATTCATTAATTAAATCTAGTAGCTTTTTTTTAATATATTTTATTGATTTTTTTACAGAGAGGAAGGGAGAGAGATAGAGAGTTAGAAACATCGATGAGAGAGAAACATCGATCAGCTGCCTCCTGCACATCTCCTACTGGGGATATGCCCGCAACCCAGGTACATGCCCTTGACCGGAATCGAACCCGGGACCCCTCAGTCCACAGGCCGACGCTCTATCCACTGAGCCAAACCGGTTTTGGCTAAATCTAGTAGTTTTTTAAAAAATATTTATCTCTATTGATTTCAGAGAAGAAGGGAGAGGGAAAGAAAGATAGAAACATCAATGATGAGAGAGAATAATTGATTGGTTGCCTCTTGCACGTCCCATACTGGGAATCAAGCCTGCAACCCCGGCATATGCCCTTGACCACAGTCAAATCAGGACCCTTCAGTCCGTAGGTTGATGCTCTATCCATTTAGCCAAACCAGCTAGGGAAATATAGTACTTTTTTGATGGAGTCTTTAGGGTTTTCTATGTACAATATCATGTCATCTGCAAATAATGACAGTTTTACTTCTTCTTTTCCAATTTGGATGCCTTTTATTATTCTTGTCTGATTGATATGGCTAGCACTTCCAGTACTATTTTGAACAGGAGTGGTGAAAATAGGCATCCCTGTCTTATTCCTGTTCTTAGGGGAAATGGTTTTAATTTTTGCCCATTGAGTATGATATTGGCTTGTAGGTTTGTTAGATAAGGCTTTGGTTATATTGAGGTATGGCCCCTCTATTCCCACTTTGCTGAGGGTTTTTATCAAGAAAAGCTATTGGATTTTGTCAAATGATTTTTCTGCATCAATTGATATGTGATTTTTCCTCTCAATTTGTTTATGTGATGTATCAAATTTATTGACTTGTGGATATTATTCTAGACTTGCATCCCCGGAATAACTTTCATTTAGTTATGATGTATGATCTTTCTAATGTAGTGCTGGATATGATTTGTTAGAACTGTGTTGAGGATTTTCACATCTATGAGGGGCCCGATGCACGAAATTCATGCAAGAGTAGGCATTCCTTCCCCCTGCTGCTGGCACCAGCTTCCCTTTTGCACCTGGACCCAGGCTTCCATTTAGCCGCTGGCGGGCACCCAGGACCAAGACTTCCCTCTGGCCACTGGCAGGCACCCGGGACCCGGGCTTCCCTCCCACTGCCAGCAGATACCCGGGACCCGGGCTTTCCTTGCAGCCCTAGCTTCATCCAGGAGGTCGTCTGGTCTAACTAACATATTATGCTTTTATTATTGTAGCCTGGGGGCCCAGTGCACGAATTTGTGTACCTTGTGGGCTGCAAGGCTGCGGTAGGCACAGGGGTAGGTCTCAGCCCATCCTCCATGCCCCCATCTGGCTCCTCCTGCTGTGGCCCCTGGTCCTCTGTCTGCCAGCAGCCCTACACCCGCTGCCACCACTCCCATGCACTTACGGCGCTGGTCCCTCTAATACCTGCTGACGGCACAGTGCAACGGACCAGCACCAGCAGTGGGTGTGAGCAGGGCCAGCACTGTCAGTGAGTGTGAGCGGCTGCTGCTACCCTGTCACCCCTCAGGAGCAGTGGGAGGTGGAGAAACCCTCAGGGGCGATCAGGGCCGGCAGCCGCCGCTCACACCTGTTGATGGTGCTGAGCAATTGGGACCGGCGGCAGGCACTGGCAGTGGGCGTAAGTGGCGGCTCTGGTGCTGGCTGTGGGTGTGAGCGGCGCTGGCACTGGCATTGGGTGCAAGCAGTGGCTCTGGCACCGGCAGCAGGTGTGAGTGGGGTTGGCGCTGGCAGCAGGTGTGAGCGCTGGGTGGGACTGCAGTGCGTGGGAGCAAAGAATTTTCAGTAACCACCAGAAGCTTGCCCTGATGATAGCGACTGGCGCCCCTGCTCCACCATCCCGCTGCAGCTGATGCCCGCCATGTTGCACGCACGCCCCCTGGTGGCCAGCGCACATTATAGCGACTGGTTGTTCAGTTCTGGTTGTTCTGCCATTTGGTCTATTTGCATATTAGCCTTTTATTATATAGGATAAGTACATGTTTGTAGCCATTTTTATTCCTTCTGCCTGTGTTTCTTCTTGCCTTTCTATTTCTTCTTTTTACAACAGTTCCTTTAGTGTTTCTTGCAATGCTGGCTTGGTAGTAATAAACTCCCTTAGCCATTTTTTGTCTGCAAAGCTCCTGATTTTCCCTTCAGTTTTGAATGATAGCCTTGCTGGATGGAGTATTCTTGGATTCAGTCCCTTGCTTTGCATCACTTTCATTCCATTCCCTTCTGGCCTGATCTGTTTCTGTTGAGAAATCATTTGATAATCTAATGGGAGATTTCTTGTAGATAACTCTCTGTCTCTACCTTGCAGCCCTTAAGATTCTCTCTTTGTCATTAACATTTGCCTTTGTATTTACAACGTGTCTTGGTGTGGGTCTTTTTGGGTTCATCTTATTTTGGACTCTCTGTGCTTGTGTGACTTTTTCCTTCCCTGCATGAGGCAAGTTTTCTGTCATTATTTCTCCCAATAGGGTTTCTAATCCTTGCTTGTCTTCTTGTCCTTTTGGCACCCCTATTATACAGATGTTGCTTCATTTCATGTTGTCCCGTAGCTCCCTCAAGCTTTCCTCCTGCTTTCTAATTTTTTTCTCCAGTTGCTGTTCAGGTTGGGTGGGTTTTTCTGCCCTGTCTTCTAACTCGCTGATTTGGTCCTCAATGTCTTCTACTCTACTGTTGAAACCTTTCATTGTGTGTGTGTGTGTGTGTGTGTGTGTGTGTGTGTGTGTGTGTGTTTATTGTAGCTATATCATTCTTCATTTCCTCTTGATTCTTATGTAAGTTGGTAATTTTCTCATCCAGCCGGTTTAGGAACTGTATGACCCTTACTCTGAATTCTTTCTTTGACATATTTCTTGCCTGCATTTCATTTAGTTCTTTTCCTGGTGATTCTTCCTTTTCTTTCTTTTGGGTTTTTTTTTTTTTTTTTTTGTCTTTCCCTTTTTCTGTCTCTTTCTGGCTCTGGGAACCCTGTTTGGGGTTCGAGGTGTTGAAGCCCCTAGTGATTCAATAATCCTTGCTAGACTGGAGGCTGGGTCTGCCTTGAGTTTCACACCTTTATTGTCTCTACTCTGAGTTGTACCCTCCTCTCCCATGTTCTGGTCCCTCAGTTGTCCACTTCAGATTCTCAGGGTCAGTGGGGGTGTGTGTACAATTCCTGTTGTGTGTGACTCCTTTTGAGGGCTCAGAGCCCTCTTGCATGCAATTCACTGTGCGGCCCTGACACCCAAGGCAGGATGGTGCCCTAGTTTCCTCTGGCAGTGCACATGCAGCATGGTCCTGTGACCTGTGGCTGGGCATACCAGGTTGCACCAGCAGCTCTGACCTGGGTAAATTTTTGTTTTAATTCCAGTTTGGGTTGTGGGAGCATGTCCATGCAGCATCCATTTTACTCCTCTGCCATTTTTATGACAGGCGGGGATACTAACCACTATACTAACGAGGAGCTGTTGCCTCTGCCATTTTTAATCCATGATTTCATTCTTAGGATTTTGAAACATCTTTAAAAAATAACCTAGTTGAATGACTCATGTGTTACATATATTTAGTGTATTAAAGTAGTCTTTATTATTGAAGGAATAACTTAATGATCAAATTATATTAGTTATTAACATTTCATTTAAAATAAGCTAAGATTCAGGAATAAAAATGTTTTCAATATTTTATCTCAAGGTACTTTTAAAGTATTTTTATTTTTATGTAAGGTATCCTGTAATAAGTGTATTTGTTTTTTCGTTTGATTTTAGAATACTATAATTTTAAATTTATGAAAATTGTGAATTAAAAGTACTAATCATGTGTATGTAATAATTTTCTTTTACATTATGGAATAAAATTTTATCACAGGTTTCGTCTTGATATATATCGTTGTTTGGCCAGTCCAGCTCTAATAATGTTAACAGAGGAGGATCCAATTCTGAGAGCATTTGAACTTAGTGCTGATTTAAAAGAACTAAGCCTTGTGGAGGTGGAATTCAGGTGGGAATGAATAGAAATTATAAATTATTTTTTAACTTTTTTTCCAGAACATTTTCAGCCTGACGTTTTCATAGGGTAATTTAAAATATATATTTACATTTGATTAAAGATGATAGACCTTGCTGCCACCTACTGGGATTTCCCTTCTCTCTCAGTGGAATAGACCTTGGTATAATTTAGATCACGTCTTCCATCTGCTCTCTGCCCCTCTTGCACCACTCTTGCTTTGTTCCACATTGCCAAAAGCATCCGAGGGCAGTGGGAAGAAGAGTGGGAATGGCAGCTTGAGCAAGGACAAACAGTTTATAACTACTCTCTGTCCTACCTTCCTTACTCCACATCTATAGTCCTTAGAGTATGATTCTTCATAATGTTTAGAAGCATGTGGAATGCTTTCTGAATGTCAGGGATGTTCCACACAGAGAGACCTAGTTTGTTTTCACTGTTTAGTGAGAGTTTCTGTTAGGAGAAGTATAGCATGTAGACATTTCTTCTGAAATGAAGAGTTATGTGCAGTTTGTATACCCCCCAAATCGCTGTTAATCATTTCTTCATAGATAGTTAAGTTGGGGAGAGGGGACCTTTAGGAAAAGCAGCCTATTAAACTACTGGTAGACATTAAAAAAATTTTTTTTAGAAAACTACAATTAGCTTGAGGAAAAGCTTTGAGACTTTTCCTTAAGTTAAAGTATCCCTGATGGCCCTCCAAAGAAGGAAGAATTGATCAACATTTCTGGTCAGTTCCCACCTTTTTTTTCATGTCCAGCTGATGGTGGAGTCATGTCTTAACATTGCTTTCCTCCAATGATTTGATAAGATTGGGAAAATTCAAACTTCTATTTACTGGAAGGGCAAAATGAAGCTTGCAATGTTCTTTGCCTTTATAGCAGTACATAGTGTGTGTTCTTGAGAGCTCTTAGTTCCAGAAATCTTTAAAAATACCTGTTTATACGTTTTCAAGTTTGGAACTACTATATTTTAATTTGGATATATTAAAATTTACCTCAACTTGAAATGACAAAGTTTATACTTGGATGAACATGAGACATGCTTAAAATGTAATTTTTTGCTACTTTAATTACTAGATGAGACTGTTAATAAAGTATTTCTTTTAAATATGAAGAACTTTCTATTATAATCTCATAGAGTTCTGAGTTACCATATAAAATACAATTCCTTCCCAAAAGGGATTTGAAATAACTACTATGATTAAATTATAATCATAGACTAATAAAATTAGATTTTGAAGTGATCATAGAATCCTTTTCTATAACCCCTTGTTTTTATAGGCAGGGAATGTGATCTATATAGGTTACTTGTTTTACTGGTACCAACATCTAATTAGGAATAGAGTTGACATTGAAAGTAGGAGCAGAGTTGTAACTAGAACAGAGGACTCTTTGCATCTAGTCTACTATATCTTCATCCAAATTATACAGACTCTTCGCAGTCTTCCAGGAATTTATTAGAGCTTATGCAAATTAGGTTGATTAAATGTATTCATTTTACCTTTGAATATAGTGGTTTTACAATCTTTATCTAAGGTGAGATATCTTTGTAAAAAATATACACTCTAGATGAATGTTCCCACCTGCAACTAGATTTCTAGATTGCAGTAGGTACTAATTCAGTTGTTAAAGAAATCCAACTATTTATTCTTAGGTATTTTGGTAACATAGTAAATGCAAAGAATGGATGAGAAAAATGTTAGCCCCTAAGAGTTTTTAATTTTTTTAGTTATAATTTTATACAGCCAGTTTGTGGAAGACCCTGTTTTAGAGAAATATTAATCAATAGGAAATCTTCCTATTTCCCCTTCCTTTCCCTTTAAGAAAAAAAAAAAGGAATAAAAATTTCTGAAGTTCAATGGACTCATAATTATTTATTTCTAACTTTATTCTTAAATTATTATACTCAGATATAAATTTAATATAATCAATATATTTTTAAAAAATTGTCTACTAAAACTTCTTAGTTCCTCACAAATTGATTTAGGCCTGACTTTAACAAGCAATTAAATCCTAAGTTTTAAGGAAATGTGATTCTGAAAGAGAATTCTTGACTAGACATGTTTTAGGATCTTTCTTTTTAACTTGAATTTTTTTCAAATGAACACTGTAAAAATGAATCAAAATACTATTTTAATATCAGAAGTAGCATAAACATGTTGTAGACTGTTATTGAAAAAATGTTTAGTTAAAAACTATAGAATAACATTTATTGGTTAGCATAAATATATTGTTATCTATTGTTTAGATAAGTAATATAAAAGGAAGTTTTATACCAAACTTATAGAGAATAAGGGAGAATGAATTAAGAGAAGAGTTGGTTGACAAATATCAGAATTTCTAGGGATATCAGTGTGTGTGTGTGTGTGTGTGTATATATATATATATATATATAGAAGCATTGTGTGAACACCATGAACATAACTGTATTATAGTTTTCCCCAAAGCTGTGGAAAATTAATACACAGTAGGTTCCTTTGACAGTCAGCACATAATGACTTCACACACCACTATCAGAACTAAAATATTACTGAGTAAAAGTTTTCTAGTGAATATAGCGTAGTTGGAAGTTGGAAGTGACATTTCTAACAATCAACCATTGTATTTTGCAGGAATGATTATGAGGAACTAGCCCGGCAATGTAAAATGTTTGCTAAAGATTTGCTTGCACAAGCCCGGAATTCACGCGAATTGGAAGTTATTCTAAACCATACATCTAGTGATGAGCCTCTTGACAAACGAGGATTATTAGAAGAAAGAATGAATTTAAGTCGTCTAAAACTTGCTATCAAATATAACCAAAAGGAGGTATGAGGGTTTCTGTGATGTATTTAAATTATTTCCTCCACAGGAGTCTAGTGGCTCAGGGCAAAGGCTTTGGAGCAGCACATATAAGTTGAGATCCTAGTTCTTCATAAAAATATGTGTCCTTAGGAAAGTTATTGAATCTGTCTGAGCTTTAGTTTTAAGAATTAACTAAGAATATATAGTTAAGAGTTTAGTATAATGAGTACTAGTATTAAGCAAGTATTCAGGGATAATTGCTATTATTTTTAATTTTCATAATAATATATATTAATTTAATGTTTGGGGAAATATTAGCTACACAGGTAAGATCTTATGTCATGACCTCACAGTAAACTTTCCCTCTTGTGTTTTGTTTGTCCTAGTTTGTTTTATTGATCTAATAGTTCTTTATATAGTAATACCACCTATCTGCTTAAAAATAAAGTATCAGATGTTATGTTTCCTGATTCTTATTTGTTAATTCATTGTGAAATCCGAAGGTGGAGAGGCACATGGTAATGTAACTAAGTTGAATCGGGCTCTTCTGGCATCATCCCTTCCTATCAAGGGAAATACCTATTTCTACTCCCCATACACATACATACACATGATTCAGGAACCTGAAGAGGAAAGGTATGTATTTTAAATTTCATTTTAGGGATAATTTATTAAACATTTTATATTTAGACAATGATATCTAGTTGACAGTATGGAGTATTGATAAATGGTACTTCAAAGGTATTGCTTCTGAGACCCATTTTTATTATCAACATAGATGTTGGAATAAAACTTATCAAATTTATTTTAATATAAAAATGGGGCCTGAATAGATAATGGTAAAAAAACAAAATATAGAACCTTTGATCCTAAGAACAGAATGATTATTTTTATCTTGCTTTAAAATTTGAGCCTCACAATAGGTTTGATACAGGAATTTTAAGATGTTTTCCTTAAGATTACCTAGATAATAATAATATATTGCTTATCCAGATCTCTGGCTTCAAGTTATATATATATATATATATATATATATTTAACATTCCAAGGTCCTTAGTTAAGGTAGAAAATTTATAGGGAAATAAATTAAGTACAATAATTTGAATCAGTGTAGCTGTAAGTTTATAAATCAATAGAATACCTATATGGTTTCAAAAGGAAATACAATGCTAATGCATATAAGTAGAAACATGTAAACTTCTTCTAATATACATTTTGGCAAGACATTATTGACTAAATCTTAGGTTAATTTCTTTACTACGTTGTTCTACAACTTAAACATGAAATTTTAGAAAATGTTAGAATAGAGAGATAACAAGATGCAAAATCAACTTAAGTGATTGGGAAAAGAATTAAAGAAAGGTGGAAAGAACCAAGGTTACCCTGGTTAGGGAAGAAAAAAACTAAGAGGCAGTTTCCTGATGTCATATTTGTATCCCTGGAGGACACACAGGAGATACCAAATATTTTATTCGAAAGAAGGTGAAAGAAAAGTAAGTAAGTAAGTTTTATGTAATTTTGTAATGTTTTATAAGGAAAGGAACATTGAAAAATGATACTTGGGCATTTGTTCATTTTTTTCCTACCGGCCTCCTGTGGCAAGTATTGAATGAATATGCCTTACCCACATTGTGTATCCTATTTTGAGAGAAAAGTGCTTTTTCATTGGCCTCAAGACCCTTACTCCATTTTCTTGTCAATTCATATTTTTTAATTTTTCAATTACACTTGACATTCAGTATTATTTTAGTCAATAAATATTTGCCATCTATTTTTGTAAGAACTCAAAGTTCATTGTAGAGTAGAGTCCCATGTGAATTATTTTCACCCATTGTCCTTTGTTTTTTGTCATTGGTTTTGGCTGGGATTTGAACTATGAACTTTTTATTAAGAAGATAATACCGGTGATAGGACAATAAAATCTGGAGTTGGAGATGACCCTTCCTGACTTTGTTATGTTAGAAATAACCACAGCCTAACTTATGTGAAACTTGAGTGCAGAAGTGAAATAGGGTTAGATTGTTTGAAGCCACTTGTGTAACGGAGACAGACAGAAGCATAGAGCTTTTGTATAAATTTGCTTTTAGTTTGTTTTCCTCTGTCTTTGCCCTGCCAGCCAAGAATATCCTTCCATTGTGTCATGTGTAAGCTTTACAGATGTTCTGAATTCAGCATTAAAGATCCAGCATAGGTTGGATTTTCCTGCAAGCTTATATGTGTCTAGCATATGGTGGCAACATGTAGAGTGTCATGGTTGAGACGGTTTTCTGAAGGGTTTGCACTCCTCTAGATGGCATTTGTATTAGGTCTAATTTGTCCTGTTGATACTATTCCTGGCTGTGATTCAGATCCTACTGTGACAGCTACAATGGTGCAGTGCAAAGGAGCCACATAGCAGTTTGTTCTTCTACCACACTGCAGTGACTGCTCTGAGCCAGTCCTTCATGTGAGAATCCAACTTTCCTCATTTCAGGCAGACTCTGGATGTTTCCTTTTACTTAGCTGAGCGTAGTCTCTCAATGATTTCAATTGTCTTTAGTTGTATATGATTAACATTATTTGCATTTTTCTTATAATAAATGCTTCTGTGCTTTTTAAAGAAAAATAAATAAATAGTAATATTTTTAATTGAAAGGAAGATACTCTATAATTTTAAGGATGAATGAAACTAGATTTCTAAATATGATTAAAAGAGAAGATAATATTTTCCCAAATAGTTGGTAAACTTTATTTAGGTAATTCATCCTGAATAACAAAGTACCCTGATACTTAGTGGCATAAAACAGCATTTCAAAATCATTTTATAATAGTTTCATAATCATTTTATAATGCTCTTGGATCCTTTAGGTCTAGAATTAGGAAAGGACACAGCAAAGATGATTTGTCTCTGTCTCACTATGTGTAGGGCCCACCTGGAGGTAGCTCTAATGACCAGGGCTGCAATCATCTAGAGGCTTTGTCGATCATATGTCTGGTGCCTGAGCAGCAGCAGCTGAGGACTCAAACAGGGAGCTCTGAGTGGACTGGATGCTCAGGTGGATGGGTCCATAGAGGGGGGCCTTCTGAGAACTGTAACTGAGGAGGAGCATGGCTGTCATGGTGGATTGGCTGCAAGGAGATGGTCTGAGAATCCTCTGAGGGCTGACTAGAATGCCTCCATATAGTCTGGGCTTCCTCACAGCAGGGTAGTTTTATGACAGGAGAACATTATACAGGGCAGTTTATGGCTCCAAGAGCAAGAGTTCTTCCAAGTGGAAACTGCATGACTTTTTATGACCTATCTTCAGAAGTCACATAGCATCACTTCTTCCAGAATCTCCTGGTGAAAGCAATCACAGACCTGGCCAGTGGTGCTCAGTGGTTAGAGTGCCAGCCTGTGCACCAAATGTCCCAGTTTCAATTCCCAGTCAAGGGCACGACGTACCTGGGTTGTAGGTTCGATCCCTAAAAATCAATGGAAAAAAATATCCTCAGGGGAATAACAACAACAAAATAAGTAAAAATAAATAAAAAATGTAAAAAAGTAATCACAAGCTTGTTGAAGGGTAGGGAACATTGATCGCGCATCTCTTGATTAGAGGAGTATCAAAGAATTTAAAATCCACCACAGACTTATAACATTTCCAATTGAAATTTTGTTTTTCTAATTAAATACTTAGCATCATTTAATTAAATCATCATTATATAGAGGGATTGCAAGGACAGCAAACAGTCCTAAGATTGCTTTGATATTTGGGGGAAGGGTGAAACCAATAAGTTTGGCATGTTACTAAATTGGGTAATTGGTGGGAGAAAAGGCTATTTCTCCAATATTTCATCTTTAAAGACAAATTAAGATTCTGTAGGAACACCTGAATCTGAGCAAAAGAATAAAAGATGAAATAAGAATTAAGTGCTAAAAGAAACATATAGTATATTAGGAAATATCTTAATAAGCATAATAAACAATAGAAATTTTGTTTTAAAAACTTTGTTTTAAATTATATCTCAGGATAAATCATTTTAAAATAGAAGAGTGGCTAAATATTATTTAGATATCTGAATGATGTTATGATCACTTGTGCTTTACTTCAGTAACTTTAAACCTGATCCCGTTACTTATGTAGAGCTATCAGAATCCTTCAGTGAGCATTATACTGGGGAAACACTTCTGGAATTTGCAAACTAGAATTTTCTTCTTATTTGGGAACATTTTTCATTGTCACACCAAATTCAGTTTTAAGTAGATTAAAGAGTAACTTTACTGCATTTAAGTTTTTCTGCTTTTATGGATCATAAATGTCTGATTTTATACTTTGATTGCTTTGTTATCTTGACATCTTGGTTTCTTGTAACTGAAATCATTAATTTTTGTAGACTAAAGTCTCTTTCTATGATTTTTACTTGTTAAACTTGAAATTTCATAAACATTATAAGAGCATTTATAAATTAAGTTTGCAAATAACTAAGGAGGCTAATTAATAATTATCACTATGTAATGTACATGCTATTAACCAGGCACTATTTTAAGAGCTTTACATTTAATCCTTATAACAAGTTTATGAAGTAGATACTATTACTATCTTCATTTTACATGTAGGGAATTTGAGTGTTAGAAAGGTTTAAAAACTTGTTCAAGGTCATTTAATGAGTGATATTGCCTAGATTTGAATCTAGGTAATCTGGCTCCAGAGTCTATGCTCTTAACCTCTATACTCTTTATTACATGTGAGAAAAAATCTATGTGGACCATATAAAATTGATTTTAAGCTATTATTAAAACTTTGAATGTCAGTTAAAGAATGGTATTATCAGATCCTATTTACAGGTTTCACTTCACTTTTTTTTTTTTTTTTTTTATCTGTGTATTCCTTTTCAGTTTGTCTCCCAGTCTAACTGCCAACAGTTTCTGAATACTGTTTGGTTTGGACAGATGTCAGGTTACCGACGTAAGCCTACCTCTAAGAAGATAATGACTGTTTTAACAGTTGGCATCTTTTGGCCACTTTTGTCACTTTGCTATTTGATAGCTCCCAAATCTCAGTTTGGCAGAATCATTCATACACCCTTTATGAAATTTATTATTCATGGAGCATCATATTTCACATTCTTGCTGTTACTAAACCTATATTCTCTTGTCTACAATGAGGATAAGAAAAACACTATGGGACCAGCCCTTGAAAGAATAGACTATCTTCTTATACTGTGGATTATTGGTAAGTATCAGGTTCATTTGAAAGGTTCTGCCTCTATTTATCCCATTAATTCTCCTTTGCTTGGTGGCATTATAAACATCTCTATTCAATTTGAACACTTCTATAATCATTGAATACGTAACTAACATTTTTGTATAGATAAATGTTCCTGAACTTCATGATAAGGGAATAGAGATTTATTGAATATTAATTACATAATTATATGGAAGTTAGATTTTTTTGTTCTCAGTCTCTAAAATTATGACTGTTAAAAACAAAGTTTGCTGATGAATGCTTTTTTTGGTAATAGAGTGTGAACCAATTCATATGGGTTTTTTTATTTTTTTATTTTTTTAAATTAATCTTTATTGTTGAGATTATTACAGATGACCATCTTTTTTCCCCTCATAGCTTCCCTCCACCTGGTTCCCACTCCACCCCATACCCTCCCCACCCTATTGTCTGAGTCCATAGTTAATACATACATGCATATAAGATCTTTGTCTAATCTCTTCCCGCACCCTCCCACACCCCCTTCCCTCTGAGAATCGTCAGTCTGTTATATTTCAATGCCCCTGATTCTATTCCATTCACCAGATTTATTCATTTGATTTTTAGATTCAATTGTTGATAGATATGTATTTGTTGTCACTTTGTTGTTCATATTTATTATCTTTACATTTTTCTTCTTCTTCCTCTTAAAAAAATACCCTTCAGCATTTCATATAATACACTGGGGCCTTGACTTACAAGTGTCCCGACTAACGAGTTTTTTGAGATACCAGCTATCTCTCGGCCTATTTTTTGCATTGAGTTGACAGAGTAATTTGAGTTAATGAGCTCCTTAACGAGCTCGGTCTGGGAATGAATTAAACTCGTATATCAAGGCCCACTGTACTGGTTTGGTGGTGGTGAACTCCTTTAGCTTTTTCTTGTCTGTGAAGCTCTTTATCTGACCTTCAATTCTAAATGATAGCTTAGCTGGGTAGAGTAATCTTGGTTGTAGATTCTTGCTATTCATCACTTTGAATATTTCTTGCCACTCCCTTCTGGCGTGCATAATTTCTGTTGAGAAATCAGCTGACAGTCCTATGGGTACTCCCTTGTAGGTAACTAACTGTTTTTCTCTTGCTTCTTTTAAGATTCTCTCTTTGTCTTTTGCCCTTGGCATTTTAATTATGATGTGTCTTGGAGTGGTCCTCTTTGGATTCCTCTTGTTTGGGGTTCTCTGTGCTTCCTAGACTTGTAAGTTTATTTCTTTCACCAGGTAGGAGAAGTTTTCTGTCAATATTTCTTCATATATGTTTTCAGTACCTTGCTCTCTCTCTTCTTCTGCCATCCCCATAATTCAGATGCTGGTACACTTGAAGTTGTCCCAGAGGCTCCTTACACTATCTTCATATTTTTGGATTCTTTTTTCTTTTTGCTCTTCTGGTTGAGTGTTTTTTGCTTCCTCCTATTTCAAATCATTGATTTGATTCTCAGGATCTCTAGTCTACTGTTGAATCCCTGTATATTATTCTTTTAGTCAGTGTATGCTTAATTTCTGACTGGCCCTTTTCCATTTTTATGGCATTCTCACTAAGATCCTTGAAAGTCTCCTTAAGTTCCTTGGAGGTTTCTAGAAGATTCTTGAGTAACCTTATAACTGTGATTTTGAACTCTATTGTCAATAGTTTGCCTTCTTCCATTTCTTTCGTTTGTGACATGGTTCTTTGTCTCCACATTTTGAGTCTTCCTGTGTTTGTTTCTATGTATTGGGTAGCTGCTAAGTCTCCTTGAGTTGATAGAGTGGCCTTGTGTAGTAGGTGTCCTATAGGACCCAGTGGCTCAGCTTCCCCAATCACCTGCGTTGGATACTCTTGGTGCACCCCTTTGTGGGCTGTGTGCACAGTTTTGTTGTATTTGAACCTTGATTGCTTTTGGTGTCACTGAGAGGACTTGACCTCCAGGCCAATTGGCTGTGGGGACCAATTGTGACTACAGTGGGAGAGCTGCTGTGCAGAAGACATCCATATGGAGCAGGACTTGCTTCAGTGGGGCTTTGGTGCTCACTGAGTCTGCCTCTTGAGTGTGTTGCTTATGGATGTGAAGAGTTGTAATCTGGTATGGTCTCGCACTGACTACTGGGTACACTGGCTCTTGGGTCTCCAGAGAGTTGCAAAGTCAGCCACTGCCTGGGGCCACCCAGCAGGTGCAACAGAGAGATCTGCAGATTCCTCCTCTTTGTATTGGGTTTGGAAGTGCCCAGACAAGGCCAGCTGTGAAGCAAGCAGGCTGGTGCTGGTACAGGTTCTTGGGCCTTTTATTGATAGGTTTGGGGCTCCCTGACTTAACTGCAGCTTGTTTGACCCAGCTGCAGCTTGAGAAAGGACACACCATTCACATGCAAAAGCCACTGCACACCACTTGGGTGGGGTTGTAAGTTGCGTCGGGCGGGGTCTCAGGGAATCAGCAGGATGGAGCAAACAGAAATGCCTGCCAATCAGCCCTGAACCAGGGAGATCCCAGCATGGGAACAGTGGCCACTGCAAGCACCTCCATCTGGAAGAAAACCACCCCTGAGTTCTTGCCCTGATGCCAGACAGTCCAGTTTCTCCCCGTATGTGTCTGTGTCCCCCAGAGCCTCGCCTGGCACTGGAGCTCAGAGGAAGTGGGAGCTTGTAAATTCAGTTCGTGGTACCGGCCTTTTAAGAAGAGCAGCTGAGTCTCCAGGAGCCTGTATCACTCAGCTCCAATCCGCACTGGTTTTTACAGCCCGTAATTCTTACTGCCCATAGGGACTTATTTTCCCAGCTCTGGAACCCTGGGCTGCAGGTCTGGTGAAGGGCTGGTACCCCTCGCTCCTCTGGGTGGCCTCCACAGAAGCGATCTCCCTCCCAATTAAAAAATCAGCAGACCTGGGTGCCGGACCTCCACACCTCCACACCTCCTACCAGTCTCAGTGTGTTTTCTTCTTTATTTCTCTCGTTGTAGTACTTCCACTCAGCCAGCTTTTCAGTGATTCTGGATGATGGTTCTGTATTTCAGTTGTAATTTTGATGTTGTCAAAATTACTTGATGTGGGAGACAGCAAGTTCAGGTGTTTACCTATGCCACCATCTTGGTTCTCCTCATATGTATTTTGAAATGTAATACGTTTTATACTCGGTTGCATTTGAAAAGTTAAGTATTTTGTTATAATGTTATATCATTAGTTTTCCTTTGAAGAACCTATTAACTTTTGCAGTTATATTTTCCTGGTGACTCACTCTAAAAATGAGTTCTTTGTATTGATAGCTAGAACTCTTTAGAAATTACAGAACATTTTGTTTTGTGAAAATTGTTTTTTATAAGTATTATGTTGTATAGCGAATATTTTAAATGACCTTATGCTGCCCTTGCCCTTTCTTTGATCGGGATGGGAGGTAAGCAGTTGAGGTATAATCATATTTCTGTTTTTAGAGTTTTAATGACATCTCCTTTATTTCTCTCTGGATCTTCAACTTTGTTTTTAACCTCAGCATTTTCGATTTATCTTTCTACTATTTGCTATAGAGTAACAGTATTGAAATTTAGTCTTTTCTATGGTGTAAAGCACTGATTGACTTATGTTTTTGATGATTTCAATTATTAACTTATTTGAGAACAGTGAATGTACAGTATTCACTTTTAATTATCCTTCAGTTATAAAATTAATTTGAATACTTGGGATTTTTATTTTTAATTGGAAATTAATTCATTTCAAGTAACTCAAATCAGTTTTTTACTTTTAGTGGTGTTCAAACCATGGTACATTAATACTTAAAATTAGGTAGATAAAACAGACTTTCGGTGAGATGACAGAGTAGATATACAGTGTGCTCCTCTTCTCCCATGATCACAGCAAAACTACAACTGAAGTATACAATAACCATCATTGAGAATCACCTAAAGTCTAGCTTAACAGAACTCCTATAACTAAGGATATAACAGAAGAAGACACAGCGAAACCTATATGAGGGGTGGAGACAAGATACAGGCTGCTCTCACACCCACTGTGGCAGTTGAGAATCGGGAGGCTGTGGAAGTTCCCCCTGAAAAGTGAAGATTTCCCCTGAGGAGCGAAGCGTCCCAGTCCCACACCACACTCCCTAGTCAAGGGCTCCAGTACTAGGAAGAGAAGTCCCCATAATTTCTGGTTGTGAAAACCAGTAGGGATTTTGGCTGAGTGAGACCGAAGGCTGCTAAGAGTACCAGGCATTCCTCTTAAAGGGTCTGCTCAAGGATTTAACTTGCTGACCAACTCGCAGGCTCTGAACTCTAGTGCTAGGGCTGCAGCCAGGAATATACTAGGAATAACTGACTTGTGTGGCTTCAGGGTGAAAGCTGGACAGGCAACTTTCTCCCAGATAGAAATGCTTTTGCTCCCAGGCACAAGTGATTGTTCGTTTGTTGATCCCCCTTCCCACCCAGTTGCAGGTGTAGATGGCCTCCATATCTGAATCTCAATCCACCTGGCTAACACTGTTCACCCTTCCCTGGTGATTCCCTAAGACCCTGCCCAACCCAACTTGAGGGTTCACCCAAGCCTCTTCCAGTGGCTTTTCTATATAAATGGCCTATCTTGGCTCTCAAAGGTTCACAAAACTGAAGCAACAGTATCTGGCCTTGACATGCCCTATATTTCTTGCTAAGTAGCCTCAATCCTGGCACTATGGGAAGCCAGCCTTAATTCACAGTTTAGCCTTTCTCAGGCACTTCCAAGCCCAGCACAGGTGGCAACCATATGCAGATCACTTTGGAGCTTATACCAAGTGGCTCCAGGCAGGTCATATACAACAGTTGACCTTAGCCAGCACCATAACCCCTCCCAAGAGGCCCCAGAACCAACACATTCAGTGGCCAGCTTCAGACCACACCAGAGCACCATACAATTATCTCTACAAATGACACACAGAAAAGGCAGACTTGGCAGGCACCAGAGCCTTACTAAAGCAAATCCTGCTCTTTAGGTTCTGTCCCTGCATGACAGCTCCTCCACTAGAGTCACAGCCATTCTT